ATAAAATTAATTACATTACATATAATACAAGTACTATTTCAGGATTAAAAGATACTCAAATTCAATATATCATAAATTAGATGATATTAAAAACTGTGACAGAATATTATGATCAGAATAATTCTAAAGTAAGTGAATTTATCATAACTCCTATTTCTTCAGATCTGAACAATTTACCAAAAGCTGAAATATTAGCAAAGTCTTTATCAGAAGCTCAAATAAGTACATTATCTATATCTTCATCTAATCTAACTTATGATTATATTTATTTTCATAATAAAATATTAAATCAGTATTCTAATATATATAAAGAATTTAGTAATGAAAAATTTGATTATTATGAACTTATTGATAAGTTATTATGTTCAGCATGCAAGTCAAGTTATAAGAATAAGAAGAGTATAAGAGATAGATATAAAGCTGAATCCTATTTTATTAAATGTGAAGAGCATAAAATTAAGATTACAGCATAAGTAAATAATTATATAAACTTGAACAAGTGAATAGTGATATTTTTTCTTGAAGTTATGTGATTTTGAATTGACTTGCATTAATATAAAATGATAATATGTCTTCTGATACTATCTCCAACAAGATATTAATTAATAATTATTGTAAATAACATGCTAATTTATTTGATTTACCAAGTTCTCAGATAGATAAAATTCTTTTTAGATTATATAAAGCATATATGGAAGAGACTGAACTTGATCTTTGAATAAAATCTAAAACTTTTGAATTCTTACAAATCAATAAAGTTAGCATGACCAAAAAAGATGCTAATAATTATATCTTACAAGATTGCATTATTAAAATTTCCAAGTTTCCAGAAGAGAAAAATGTAATTATTGAAGCAGTACAAAAATGATTTTCTTTCTTGAAATATATTAAATCAAATATATACCCTGTAAAAAAAAATAAAAGACAAAAATCAGGAAAAAATCTGGTTTTTTAGTTCCGGAAAATCACGGGTTTTGTTAACAAATTTCCGGATTAAAAACTGATAAAAAACTGCTTAAAAATGAAAAAAACGGGGAAAATAAAAAAAAATCCAGAAACTTTGGGACGCGATATCTTGCGAACCGCAGAACCAATCTGGACGAAAATATCACCATTCGATCCGTCTAGTCTTGACGAATCGAATAGTGGTATTTTCATTCAGATTGGTTTCGTAGTTCGCGAGATATCGCGTCCCAAAGTTTCCGGATTTTTTTTTATTTTCCCCGTTTTTTTAAAAATGGATTAATATCTTATCATTCACTTAATCAAATTGGATAAAAATAAAGCCACATATTTACTGAGA